ACTTCAAAATTCAAACCATAATGCTGTTATACTTTCTTCTTCAGTGGATAATTGCTGATACCTGAATATTTACTTTTAGGGGGGAAATATAAACATTGCATTAAAGTTTGCAAGTTATAATTTGTCATGTAAAAGGAAAGTTTTGTAATGTCCCAAGAAGTAGATCACTGGCAGACCGTTTTATTCCCGAATAAAACCCAATTCTTTATGCTCATCTAGTAATTTTGTGGAAGAAAGGACAGACTACTCATAAAAAAATGCAGAAGAAACTAGCTTGCTTTTTACATACAAACTCCACTGATAAATAGATTAGCAATTGGCATTTTAATCTATGCCAACTCATCACATATTCTGCTTCAAAGAGCTGTATGCAACTTTTTGAAAATCAACAATTCTGACAATCTGAAAGTAAAATCACATTGTTTCAAATTAAGCTGTTAAAAATTAAACCAAGAATTTCTCAGCCACAATGACCCCACCTTGGGGTTATTTTCTGTTCTTTAAATGGATTGTCTACCTTCCCATACAGAAGATTCAAATCCTGCAGCTATTTTCAAAATTTTGTTATTTATCAGGAAATATTTTGGAAAGATACTGAGGAAATAGTATTCATAATAAAGCATTTAATAGGACAAACCTCCTAAGAGTTATATAGATTAAATATATAAATAAATTATGCACAGAAAATTGGTTTAGGGAAGTATATGCATTACATTCTTAAACTGAAAAATATAATTCATATTTAGGTTTATAAACATGAGAGTTGGGAACTACTGAGTTCTTTTGGCTAAAGCCCAATATTGGCCTTATTTCAGTTTAATTGGAAGAGGATCTTGAATTCATCTTCTCCATGAGATATCAGGAACCTGGATTTCTGTTTGTACCAAAGGTTAATAAGAAATGTGTCTGCAAAAGTCAAACAGCATTAAATACCAAAAACTGATTATTATTCTGCAGGAGTTGTTCTGTCATTCATAATCTCTCCATGCTCCAACCTTCCACAGCTAATCTTTAATGGATGACATGCAGGAAAGAAAAATAACATCTAAAAAGGGACTCTAAAGTGAGCTTTGAAGAAATGGAAAATACTTTACTTCTGTGCTGAAAGTTATTGCCACCCAAAGTTTATTACTGACAAGATTACTTATTTCCTCTCACCTAATGGATATTAAAGCAAATTAACTCTAAACTAACAGCCACCTGGATATTTGTTTTTACTTTTGCTATTAAATCTATTGCATATGCATGCATATTCAGTAATTATTTTTCTAATTTTAATTTAGAAAACTTCAAATAATGTTCATTAATATTTCCACACCATATTCAAGAATTCCAAAATACCACAAGTGTATATTCACAACATTTTCATAAAAAAAGACGCAAAATAGGGACCTCATTGTAGGTATATTGCTTTAGTTTCCAAGAGACTGAAAGTTGTATGATATACACCACCATGTTAGAAGTACTGCTTTCCTCTTTTTCCACACTTTATTTCCTATCATTACCTTGGTCTTTCAGAGATCATCTACAGAATGCTAATACAGTTTTCAGGCATTAAAAATGGTGTGAAACCCCTAACAGGGCTGCACTCAAGCCTGCTGAGCTGATGTTGATTTAAGAAATATTTTGGAAACATTATTATTAAGATACTGGTATAAAAAAAACCAACTCATGGAATAGCTGTTGCTACAGAAAGATAGAAGGACAAATATTTTTATTATATTTTTGTTCAGAATTATTCTTAGGCTCAATATATACTCTGATAGCAACAAAAATATTCCAGGAGCTCCAGTTCTAATGCCAGCTATGGGTTATCTTGCTGCAGTAATGGCACTGTGAGAACAGGGCTTAGATATTTTTTCCAGTCTAGAGAAGTTACCACTATGCTCTGTAACTCTCCCTTACACTCAACCACCTCCTTTCTCTAGAAGTTCATATATATAACCCCTGCTTAATTCTTCTTTTAGGAAAAAATGAAGTAACTTACTACATCCATCCAAACTGAGATCTGTTCTCTCAGCTAGTTGTTTTGAAGACTTACTCCTTTGCAATGCCTCCATCTTGATTTTCCTGTCTGTCCTGGGAAGATGCATGCTCCTTCCCCTTTCCACTCCCTCAGGTGGCACCCATTCCCTTTCTGTTCAACATATGAAAGTTCTGCACACCCAAATTTCAGATCTGGCTATTCTGCATACCCACTTCCTACGTACTGCTCCCTTTTTTGCTTACACTATCTTGGTATCTGTTCTTTTGCCATGTGCACTTCCCTGGGTTTTCCTGATCTTGTCTCCATCTCTGTTCTTCTTCATGACAGGGAGTGAAAGTAACAGTGCCTTCTGACATTGGGTCAGAATGACACAAAATCCAGCAGAAGAATAATGAATAATCTGCAGGAATTTCTGGTAACTATGTCCATAAGAAACAATAATCTCTAATGCCTAAAAGTCTGAAATCAAAATCTTAAATTCTCTAATTTTCTTTTGCCATAACTAGCTGACATAGAGATAGGGATTCAAGGAAATTTTAAAATAAATTTTCAAGGCTAGCTAGCAAAATTTCAAAATAAAAACATTCTGAAAATAAGTTATTTACTTCACACTGTATTATACTTTTCCTCCATCATGTATATCTTCTGTTTTAATTCTACTTTTTCTTCTTTTCTCATGAAGCATTTCACAAGTTCACCCTTTTATTCTTCAAATTTTCCTTTGAACAATGTAAAAATCATAAACTGACAATCTTTGGATTATTTGTTTCTGTAGACTGTTGTAGTTTATGCCCTTTGTCTTCACTTTTCAATTATTTCCATAGGTTTAGGTAAAACCTATCAATTAGAAAGTTACCTTTTAAAACAGAGTTCTAATATTCCTCAAAGTAGATAACACTTTTATGGTGTACCTTTCTTATGTTCTTTACAATATAATTTTGTGGAGTCACTTACTTATCATAAAGTCAGTACTAAGTAATAATAAAAATGCAAACACCCATATTTACAAGCTTCACTATACCATGTGTTACACACTGCAGTAATTAAACATTAACTAGTAACCTGAAATCACAGCAGCATGTGTACTCTCTTCCTCAAAGAACTTAATGCAGGGGGATAAGTTTTTCCTTGAACACACCGTCTGTTCTTTATTAGGTTCTGCTTGTCCATTAGAACTCTCCCCAAGGCTTTTATGAGAGAGACACACACAGGCTTCCACAAATCCAGTTTGGCTCACATAATTCCAGATTTTAAACCATTTATCCAAATTTGGTAACATTCTTAGAACTGTAAGACAGGAAGCAAAAAAAAAAAAAAAACCTGTGAAATATTAACAATGCTTCCTTTTGGCAAACAGTTTAAGTAGTAGGGAGCCTCTTGCCCTCTCTCTTCAGCATTTAAAGGATTTTATACTTCCTGCGCTCATAAAAGGAGAAAAAAAGGTTATTTTTTTAAAGGTCATTGTTACATTATGAAGCTCTCTTTAAAATTTTAGGTTCTTCCTTTTAAAACAGAGTAAGCATGTTAAATTATCATATCCATATTCATGCCATTCTGTTTTGAAGAGAAAAATATACTTAGGACATCAATAGAAAGTTTAAGTAGTTGTGTAGGAAAACAGCAATTTCCTAACAAGTATTTCAACTGTATCCATAAAAACTAAACTCTCCGTGTTTTGACACACCTTTCTTTCCAGGTTTTAATGAGCAATGAACACCTATATCAAAGAGAATCAAGTACAGAGGTAAACCACTGGGCAAATATCCAGGAACAAGCACAAAACTTCATGTTCAAGCCAAACAACCTGCATTAGCTTTTGGCTGGTGGATATAACAATGACACATAGTGCAGATTTTTCTTTCTTCTGAAAATAACGCAAGCAGTTATGTGAAATTAAATAAGAATAAAAATTCTACCTGTATTTCATTTTTTTCCTAGGATGTTGATTAGATTTGACTTTCTCTTCCCCTACAACAGAAAATCTAGGAACTCTCTTTTCCATCTATAATATTCACACTATACCATATTCTCAGGAGTTTGTTATTAAATGTAATGTCAGCCATCTGCTTTTCAGTTAGAGAGTTTATCATCTGTCCCTGAAGACAGTTACTCCTCCCTTTAATACAAATATTTTGGGGACAACTATTAGTACTATTAATACTCTATGAAGTGTGTGCAATCTATGAGGAAACAGTTTTACCAAGCTTACACTTCCTTTCTTAACAAATGATACAATGAATTTATAAAAGCATTCCTATTAATGTTTTTTAAACATCTTCATGAAATCCTGAGAGTATTTTTCATCTTCTGGGTACATTGTATACACAGTCATCTTTCAATAATAAGAATGCCCAGCTTCATTACATTAGCAGCTTCCACAAGCATAGAATACAAACTGTCTCCATGCTTGTATGTGTATCCAAAGAACAATTAACAATAAATATAAGCACACGTTCACTTTCAGCTATAAACTTAAAAACCTTTCCTTCTGAGAATTCATATAAACTTCATTCACTGGATATATGCCATCATCTGACAAAAATTCATTTCAAAAGAGCAGATTTTTCAAGAACAGTGCAAGTCCCTGGTTGAGGTGAATGTGAGACTATCTCCAAACACGGAGAGGGGGTAGTATTGCTCTGAACCAGCTAAAACAATAAGTGGTATTTGAACTGCTGGTTGAAAGGTAGAGGCACTGGTAATCATTATTTCCCCTTGTTTGTTCAGGACCTTCCAACAAAACAAACAACCTTTTTGTGATTGGATTGACATGGTGTTAACAATGCATTTAATGCCCAAATCAGTATGAATACAGGTAAAGCTCCTACTAATACCAGTACCAGGATGTTAAAGCCATCTATTTTCTAAGCAACTCTAAACAGCCACACATAAAAAAAAGTCAAATCTTCCCTCCTTTAGCAAATAAAGCTAACATTCACTAGGCCACGTCATATAGCAACCATGGGTACTGTATGAGCCATACAGCCATCTGTTAAATGCTTGCCTACTGTACCTGCAATCCTTTCTGCAATCTTAGCTTCTGTAGCTCTGTCTTGCAATTCTAAGTCCAGTTTCATTGTCTTCAGCTCCTTGTCCTTTTCAGCCAGCTTATCTTGAAGCTGAATTGAACAAATGTACAGTAAGATTCTTATCTGGCTGAAACTGTCAATAAGTAATTCAATCACAGTAAAATTGTAAACAACGATTTCTCTCACCCCCAAAATACAGACACTAAGCATTAAAACAGAAGTTTAATTTATTATATTTATTTGTTTAAAGAATAAATGTTAAGAATATATTTTTTAACATCTGGACTATCTTGCTCTGTAAGACAAGTAGCAATGAATATGCCATTGTTTTTTTGGAATTCTCTTCTTCAGGTATCACCAGCTTTAGTCCTTCTTGCTAAGGAAGTTCAGAATTGCATGGAATATAATGTAGGTGGTTGCATGAATAGCCAGTTTCCTGCCAAGATACAGACATCACAGTCTGAAAAGACTGGTGTAAATGCGTATTTTTCATGTTCTTCATCAGATGGAAGATTGGTATTCTTTCACATATCAAGGCCATTCTTTTAAAGAGTATTCACTAAATCTGTAATTCAACAGATATCTGAGCTTGACTATTCAATGACACTTCATGGAAAGACTAGAGACTTTTAGGTTGTTTAGGCACATGCAACCACAGCTAACACTAGAAGCAATGCTGTGTTCAAGGAAGATGGAATTTTCTCCCCTTCAATAAAGCCAAATTATCAGGGCACATTAATTGGATTTGACTCATGACATCCTGGTCTAGTCTTTGGTCTTCATTGGTTTTCATCCAGGGTACAAGCATCTACATCATTAATCAAAAAAGTCAGAGAGTAGGTTGGAGCGGTTTTTTAATTCCAAAGAAATAGTTGTTAAGCAGATACTAAGAATCCAAAATGACAGGAATGTAGTGATTGGTGCACTAAAATAAAAAATAAAATCAGGCACAGTTCAAGATGTATGTTTTGCAAGGCAATTATAAAAAAGCAAATATTGGTATCTTGAATATCTCAATTGTACCTTTTTATTTTTGGCCCTCAGAGTGTCCAATTCTTTTAAAAGGAATGCAGTTTCTGTTCTTCCACTTAAATCTTCAGCATCATTCCATGAGGATATAAATTCAGGTAGTGTCCTGTTATCCTTTCTTTCCACACTGCTGTATTTTGGAAGGAAAAAAAAAAAGAAAAATAATTTTAAAACCAGTTGTTGTTCCACTCCTCTGAAACAAAATGCACAGAAATAAATTATCAAAACCTGTTAATAAACTTGTTAGCCACTGCAAACGTATGAAACAGTCAGAAAAAATGGATGATCTACCATTTCTTAAAGCTGTAATTCTGAAAAGAATCTGTAAATCTGGAATAGTAAATCAATATCTGACAGTACTAAGGCAAAAAAAACCCCAGATGAATATGAATGGGCTATGAAGCTTATAAACAGCAAATGCTTAAGGAAAGCAAATACTAAAAACCATTGCTTGACAGAGAGAAAAAAATTAATAAAACATTTGGGGATCAAACTGATGCTCAGGTTTAAGCAAACCAAAGTATATATATCCTATATTTTTAGGATAATTCCACAGGAAGTGATATGAGAATATCTGTAAGAAAAGATCTAAGAATTAATCTTGAAGAAATCTGTAAAATTATAGTATGATTCATATTATAACTGACAACAGGAATTCCATACTGCATGTCACCTGGAGTTTTTAAATAACTTACTAGCCATAGACAACTTAAAATAAGACAAGATTCAATGGCCAGAAAAATTCTGTCTCGAAGTAAGACTTTACAAAACTTCTTGGGTATCCATTTTTACTCACAGATCACTCAGATCTCATTTGTAACATTGCAGTAAAATCAGTAAATGAATGATTAGAAAGTGAGCTAGCAGATATTTTTAACACTTGCTTTCCTTAAGCATTTTCTGGTTATACACTTCCTAGCTAATAACCAATAAGAAGTAGCCACAGAAAAGCTATACCTTCTCAACTCTTTCTTCCAGTCTAGACATTACATGTAATTCACATCCTATAAAGATAAAGATCATCCTAGAAAGATAAAGCAATAGCTAAAGATCTATTGTTCCAAAGAGTCACTCTCTTAGGCAGACAGCTGTCTGTACTCAGCCACCCATTTTTCACCTGCTTTCACTGTATTTATGTTTTTTTTCCCTTCTCCTTAAAACTAAAATGACAAATCACATTGACAGTAACCAGGACCACCATCTAAAACACAAATCAACACTGACTTAACATTTCCTGGGTTTTTCTAGATCAAGAAATGTTAACATATATTCTAATTGCAATCAATCTGGGCAGAGATGGGTTTTGGCATATAGCTTTAGGATCCTACATATAACATACTTGGAGCTGAGATGGTTCAACATGATCACTGCTGTGGGAGGTTAATCTTAGTATTCCAGACAAGCCTGATTGTCACTAGGAGTGGCGCTGGTGAAAGGTAAAATGAACAATATTTGGGTGACTCTGCTGGGCTGTACCTAAGCACTCTGGATTATACTTGGCATTTAGTGCAGGATGCATTGCCCTTACAGCAAATCCCAGTGGCTAATGCAAAAAAGCAAAAAGGAAAATGAAAAAGTGTTAAGGATTGGGATTGGCCCAAACAGTCACTGTTAGATCATAATGAAGATAGCAAAACTGGGTGTCAATTCTGCTAAACAGGTGAGGAATTAGTGTATTTTTCAAAAGTATGTAATAGGGTTTTGCACCCTTGGACCCATTTTCAAAAACAACTCTGACACTCTCAGTTAAAAATTGGTATTCAGACTGCCTAAGTCACTCAAAACTGGTAGCATGTTCCCTATCCAGTTGGCTACTCAAAGGTATAACTAGCCAGCTACTTAAACCTTTGTACATTGTGTCACATATAGAATGAGTGTTTATATTTCTTAAGACTGCTATAGAGGGCCACTGCTCAGTAAAAACACTAGTGACAAGAAATGACCAAAGTTAATGACACAATAAAGTATTCAGAGTCTATATTAAACTTTTCAACCATATTAGCTAGTCCTCAGATTCCTGTCACAGACTGCTACAAGATATTACAGCTTCTCATCTTCTTCACTCGTCCAGCTTCATCTGGACTTCATCCTGCTTTATTCCTGCTTCCTACTCACTCATCTAATTTCAGGTGCTTGTTGTGTAAAGCCACAGATACTACTAGGTTTTCAAATCTGTTTTTACTCTGGTCAGCATGCATTTTCAAAATTCTCTGTAAAGACCACAATCATTGAAATACCCACAATGTGTGATATAAATCATTGCAATGATCTTATTTTCTATGAGTGCTAGAGAATACAGAGGTGAAATCCTACATTCCACAAGGGAAAAAGAGCAGATAAGGTGAGTCTAAGTAAAAAGCTGACTTACTGATTGTCACGTGCAAAGCAAATTTCCCTGCATTTACTCCAAAAACCACATGTATATTGTCAATAATTTGAATCTAGAAAAAATATACAGAGGAATATTTCTTGGGTTTACCTTGATTCTTCAGAATCAGAATTACAGTCAGTTAGGACTCCTCCTCTTTGACTGGTTACTCGCAAATCTGAACGTTTTGGTGCTTCAGTTTCTGCCTGGATAAAAAATTCTTTGGGTTTTTGAGAATTCTTATAAAACTGAAGTTCAACACAGAAGTCTTCTTTTTTCTGATTCAAGATGTGTGTTTCTAATTAGGAAGAGAAACAAACACATTTTCTCATTTGCAGAATGAAGCACAAACTTGAGATCTTTCATTTGAAAATGGCTTGTTATAAGAATAGAATACAGTACTAGAAAGGAACAAGTGATTTAGTTTCAGATTCACAATTTCTTTGTCTCTTCACTAAGGAATGAGACCTGTTACATACAGCATGGATGGACATAGGAACTACAACCCAGTTACTGGATTTTTCTCATGGAAACATAAAAAATTAATCATCATTTTTCCTAATCCCTCCTCCCCCTTAAATGACTTCTTAAAATAATGCTTACTGTAGAAAATTATTTACCTATCTCTTACAAAATTTAGCTCTACTATGGTGAGATATGATGAATTTGTGCTATATAGAAAGGGAAATTTTCGGGTTATAATTAGACTCTTACTTATAGTAAGGTTTCTTTCAAATCCATTTTGGCTACAAAAGGAGTATCATCAAGATGTAATTAGCAACAACAAATTTAAAGCCCCATTATTCATTCCTGGAGAGTGTGAGGTACAGGCTCATGCAACTAAAGAACTTGAAGAATGCAAACCAGAAATTGTGCCAAAGGGAAAAATCTGATTAAAGTGCTGAGTGTGATAGCTAGTTCTCTTAGCTTGGCTATAGATATTTTTAGGACATATTTCTGATATCAAGGCATTTAAACGGAAGAAAGATCCACATACCAAGAATATTCTTTCATAAAGTAAGAACAAGTATGTTTTAATTATAGAATTATATTAAAAAATGAGAAGGAAGCAGCCTAAAACCACTGGAAATGGAAAAAAGGTGCATATATTTTTTATTCTTTCATTTAGATTAGTAGAGAACAAACACTGGAGCTTTTGCTTATTTAATAAAGTTAGTGTTTCCAAACATTTTGGATAAAATATAGGGCATACATTATTTGATCCACCTTATAACAAACATCCTCCTCAAAAATAATAAGAAACTGTCTATACAATTGAAATCAAGTAGAAATAGATCAAAAATATGAATCAATCAGTATCAAGTTGCCATCCTGCAGGTAAACACAGTTATAAGTGCAGTTTCCACGTAAAAAATACTGAAAACGCCTCTCAAGTATGTTGCATGTATGTATGTATGTATGTATGTTTCCTTAAACAAGGAAAGCCACAGCCAAGAGCGCAGGAAACAGCCCAAGGTCCCCAAGAGATGACTTGGGAATTGGCTGGAGTCAGTTCAACAACTTCCTATATGAAGCTATGCATTACCACCTCCAGTAAAAAGTTACGGGACCCACTGCTCATCTGTATTCTCTGCATCCACTTCAGCATAAACTTACTTGAACCCACTCCCACCATTTCTGTAAAGTGCAACCACTGATCTTTACGCTAGAAAAACAACAGTCAACAGAGCATCAGCATCTTTGTTTCGTAGCATGTGGGGACCATTACCATAAAATATTTTTGATAAATATAATATTACTTTCAGTACTGTGATTGAAATATGTTCCTCATGTCATTTCACAGCTAGTGCAGAAATTGAACACAAGGCCACAGCCACCTTGATTCTTGGAACAAGTGCACGCTTTTTCCACTGGCTTGAAATCCTGAAGGTTTTTGAGCAGATTTCCTCTGAAGTGCTGCTACATCTGAAAACTGGATTTGATCTCTTACTCCTCTTTACAGTAAGGAGCAGGGATCTCTAAATAAACATATGTTAAAAAAACCACCAAATATACTCTAAGAACCTGACTCAATTTGGGAGTGACAATACATAAGGGCAAAATTTTGAATCATTTCCAGTAAGCACTATCTGAACTAATCTAGTCTGAATTTCCACACTTGCAAAGCATTTTATAGGGAGTTGTTTCTCATTTTATTTATATTATAAAGAACTTCCTATGAAATATCATGTTCACTTCTCCTGTTTCAGATGTAGTTACTGTGTAAATGCAGTTGCAAATTATGCTGCAGAGGAGGTGCAATGCTTCACTTGCCATGACAACTTTTCCTCCTCCTCCTCTTTAGGGCATCCACTTATTTTATAAGCTATATATATATATATATATATATATATATATA